GGAGAGGAGAGGAGAGGAGAGGAGAGGAGAGGAGAGGAGAGGAGAGGAGAGGAGAGGAGATGGAGGGGACTTTCAGAATTCATTAAGTCCAACTGCCTGACTGTTTCAGGGCTGACTAACAGTTAAAGTAATAGGTATGGGGCATCAACCATCTCTCTAGGAAGCTTTTTCCACTGTTTGACCACCACCTTTATATAGGAGCTAGTCATTACCAGATTTTCTTTCAGATACAGAGAACACATTGTCTGTTTAGGTGCTTCTTAACACCATGAGCTGTCTATTTCAAGATAACATGAGTTGTACACTAGGAGTGTATGTTCCTCTCTATTAACTTCAAGTCCACTTGAGGTATGTGATAGCAGATGTCCATAGTGAATCCTAAAACACATCTCACTATAGGAGACAATACAATAGAAGATCAAGACTCCATCCATGTAACTGCTAGCTTAATTAAGTTGTATGGTAGAAAAGAGCTATACAAAAATCAAACATACTGCATCTAAATGTATGCTCAAGAAAAGTTTTGCAGACAGATTGTGCTGTAAAGGCAAAGTTCTTCACACAGGACAAAAAAACTGCCAAAATGATAGCAGATGCAAACATTGTTTGACCTGCCTATGATGTTTCTGATCCTCATGACAGCTTTAGAAGAGCTGCTATGTTTTGGAATAAGTTATAGGCAAATCACTATGTGATCTGCTCCTAAAATTCTATGGAAGAGGTGCTGAATGGAATACATGACAAGCACATATGTATAGAAAAAATGTAAAAGATCTCAGCTATATCAGCATCATTTTGGTTCATATGAAAGCAGATACAGAAGAAACATTTAAAGAATCTGAAACATTAAAATAAATCAGGAAAACAATCCGTGATGTTCATCCAGGAAGAATCCGTTTCATAACCTAGCATGATAATAAATTATTTTTTCTTTCCTGTAAGAAGTATGTATTCTTTTTGGAAGATTATTTTTAATACTCCAAAATAGTGTGATTTGAAAATCTGAATGTTAAATGTCATTCTCAATGGCAAGAACATTTATTACTTTGAATAGCATATTAGTTGTGACAGTGACAAAAGAACACTGCCATTTGGTGGTCTGTAAATTACACATCCATCAAAATAACCAAGCTTTTAGGAATAAAATAAATAGGTACAACTTACTGGGCCACGAAACATTACATGAAATGATAGTAAGGTTAATTTTTAAAAACCTAGGAGGTGAATTCAAATCCTTATTTGTCATATCTGAATTAGTCTAGAGGTACAGACTGCCACCTGCTGAGACACTGTTGTCAAAAAGTCTGGGCTTCAGAGGACTCATTTGTTATAATTAAACCTTAATTTTTCTGCTGTTTCTTTCTTCTAACCTTTAATGCTATGTGTCTCTTGATAGCATCACTGTAACTTTGTGTAAATTTCAGATGCTCCCTCCGCTGATCCCCCAGGTCACTGCTTCTCCTCTCATCATCCCCTGTGGTTTCAGCACTCTGAGTCACCTGTTGCAATTTTACAGCCAGATTCAACCACTAGACCCACATTTCTGCCTTTAAAAGATGAGATTAGAGAACACAGGCTCAGGTTCTGTCATATTGCCATGGGACAGTACAGAGCAACAGTCAAATAAGTTCAAGTCTTTCTGATTGCTTAGTCACCATATGGGCAAGAAAATGGGTATAGGTGACACTCCTGATGAAAATATAATTGTTGTCTTTGCTAAGCAAAGGGGACTGATGAAAAAAATATGCTACCTTTGTAGCAGCTGCTATAGAAAGAGAACTTAAGAAGACTTCTGGGTTTTGTAAACACCCAGATCTAAAAGAAACAAAATAGGCTGCAGGGAAACTGGTGGGCTGCATAGCATGAACAGAGATTAAAATTCACAGAGTGCTCTGAACACAGTCATCATTTCAGATACTAAATGAGGATTGCTGAGATGTGATTTGATTAACTTGCAGCAGGTGTTTATCCTTTGGAAACAGGGTGGTAGAAGGAAATCTGATGCTTCCAAGATGGATTGCATTTACTTGTCGCAGCACAGGCTTTTCACCCAGATTACTGTAGAAGGAGCAGCCGGGCTCTGTGGAATGTGGGTTTTGGGGGAAATAGTGGTTTCTGCTCAGCAGTCAAACCTCAAAAGTCAATTTTCTGGATTGCATTCACATAATTCTTAAGGCTATCAGATCATGTTCCCTGCTGGGACTGAAATCATTCTTGGTAACTTACGATCTCCAGTCTCACCCTCCCACCCTCTTTTTCCTTTTCTGTCTTCCACAATCTGTTATTTTTGCAGGTGGGCTCCTGCTTGGAGGAGCGTGGGCTGTGCTGCAGAGCAATTGAGCAAGAAGCACCCCTTGCCCATTCGTGCCAATATTTATTTGGTTGTTAGTGAACAAGGAAAAGATTTTTCAATGCAGTAAGACTCATTTTCTTGCATATCAAATACAGGAATAGGATCACCTGAACACCACCTGCAATTTGTTTTTTTCACATGGAGGGAAAATAGGATTGAGCAGGATTCTTCTGGTCTGTGGAGTGCTGATACCCTCTAGTGGTAAAACTGCAAGCATTTTTAGGCTTCCGAGCTTCTGTCTTTTTGAACCAAAATCTGCACATTATGTGACTGTGCACACTGTAATGTGAATTTATACCTTAAGTTTAAGCAGCCGATAATGTAATTTCCTTGGACTGTTTTCAGTGTGATTCACCTTTCATTAAATCATTTAAATGGTACCTGTGTGCTACTGGATCACACAGTGTAAAGAAACAACTGCAATGGAAATCATCAGGTAGCTAAAGCTCAAGCTTTTAACTGAAGAATTAGTGATGGTGCCACTGTAGTGGCTGTAATTTGGTAAATCATAGTTAATTTATAGCTGGTTGAAGGAATTACATTGTCTTGGTTGAGTTGGCATCATTTTACTTGTGGAGGTGCAAGAACTGTAAGTCAGCTAGCGGGCTACTGGCTTTATGACTGCAAGATGGGGACAGCAAGTTATGGTGTGACAAAACCAGCTTGAGGGCATGGCAAGAACTTCACAAAGGTACTAAGTTAACTGCTTACTGTCTTGACTTGGCATGCACGTGGTTACAGGTTGATGGCAACAGACATGTTCTGGACCCAAAGGCTGTTTCTTGTCAGGCACTTAACCCTTCCCCAGAGCGTGTCTGGTGAGTGGGAGAAGGAGAAACTTGTCAATGAAATCCAGAATGAGTCAGCATGAGCAAATCCATGTATATCTGTTCTAACCTTTCTCAAAAGGGCTGATCTGAAATTTTCCAAGTGATTATACTGGCACAGAAACTTCAGTCTGAACAACCCTCAGGGCCTGGAAAACTACAGCACCATAACCCTTCAAGGTTTGCTGGGAGCTTTTTCAATGTTGTCTATTCCTTGCATGGAAGTATTGTCAGGGTATGCTCTCTTAGCCCCATGTTTCCCCATATACAAATGAAACAAGTGACCAGGGCAGGTTAGAGGAAACATATCCAAGCTGAGCCTCTGTGGTCATCATTCTCCCTGCCTGCACATGTAGACTGGACTCTGTGCATTTCACCCAGTGAAAAAAAGTGTAGCAAGACATGAGATAGCACTTTAGGTATCAGATTGAAGTTCAGAACAGGAATTACACAGTGCAGGTCTTAACAAGACTTTTTTTTTTTTCCCCTGGATTCAGTGCCTAATGCCTATCATTTCTTTGATGCATTCTAACAAAAGATCCAGAGCTTTTATGGAGACGTCCTTCCCATTTATTCACTAAGCTATGAAGTATTTCCGTGCCCACTGGCCCTTTGTTCCTGTTTGGGAGCACATTCAAAATGCCCGTGAACTGGGTACGTTAAGTACTAGAATATTAGTTTACCCCACTCTGCTTCACAGCAATCACTTACAAGACTCCCTTGATTTTTTCCTACCTATTTATCTGTAGATTTTTAATAGCTTGAACCTGGGAATAGTTTTATAAAGCAGATCAACTTGACTTCAGATTGGACTTAATTGTATTTACCAGCTGTGGGAGTTAAATTTTCTGTCAAATCTCTGAATTCTGGGTCTTCACAGACAACAGCACAGAGTCAGTGATTTATCACATACTGAGTTTATTATTATCACATACCGAGGAGAGCAGAACTTTACCCTCTCTATTGTCTCTCTTTCAAGCTTTGTCATCTTTTCATCTGCATAGAAATGAATGCAAAAAGAGAAGTGAAAAAAAAAAAAAAGAAAGTGGTGTGGTTTTCAAGGGAGAGTTTGTCCCGGTGCTGTGTTGTATTGAAGCATTTACTGTTTGTCTAGTCTCAGTATGTGCCAAGTAGATTAATTTCACTGCAACCACAGTGCCTTTTTGTGAAGCACACAGAACATCAGCTTGAAATAGACCTCCTGAGCATTACATATCTTATAAATCCCTTCCTGACATGCAATTCTATCTATTTTCTTCCTGAAGAATGCAACAGAGTTAATTATCATGTTTGTGTTGGAGTCATTTTGACATAGGTTATTGCCATGATTTGTTAACTTCCAAGTCTCCCTTGGTCTTCCTGAGAGTCCACTCCACTGCTTATTGATCAGAAGTACCTACCTCCTATATGTAAATAAGCAGCATCTCCCACACAAATACAGAGCAGTAATATTCTCTTGGCTTCTCCTTTTTTGTTTCACTCCAGGTTTCTGATTGTTTTGGGGTGTTTGATCTTAGCTGTCCTGACAACTTTCAAGGAGTATGAAACTGTTTCAGGTGACTGGCTTCTTTTGCTGGTAAGTAGTCTGTGGCCAGCGTGTCACCCTGCTGATCTCCCTGAACAGAAATCAGCTCCATCAGCAGTGATGGAAACTTGCTCTGCATGTAGTACGATTTCTTCTGTGGGTACTGGGACAGTGACTGAGCTTTTATGTATTGGAGAGTTCCCAGTCCATTGTCAACATCAACTAAGTATAAAGGAAGAAAGAAAGACTACTGGCCTGAGATTTTTAAATAGCAAGTTTTCAGTATTTCCCAGCAGTTCTCCTTCTAAAGTACCAATAAATCACCTATTGGTCAGACTAGAACTTTTGAAAACTCAGTTTTTTGAGGATCTCTCAATAATATTGATTTATTCCATAATATTTTTCAATTCCCAGCATTTTTATTATTTTTTAAGGAAGGTCCTTAGAATTGGACTCAAACTTTGTCTGATAGTAGCGTACATGAAACTGTTCAAAGCAATGTCTCTGATTATTATCCACGAAGGAGAGAAATGTACTTGGAGAAAATAAATATATTCCTTTCTCTGAGTTTCCAGGATGTTTATTTTATCAATGATGGATTCATACTCAAGACTATTTGTGCAGGACTCCTACTTGACAGAAAGAGAAAAAAATTGAAAAAGCTCACTAAGTACAAATGTGACATATTAATCAGTTTATGAAAATGATCCCAACTTCCTCTTTTTCCATAACTGTCGTGGAATAGAAAGTGGTCTGTCTCACTAACCCTAGTCTTGTGGAATAGCAATTCTAGGAGAACCACATGGTACTTCCAGGATCTCAATTTCCATTTCCCTTTATACGCTAGAGGCAAGTAGAAGTGGACAAGAATTAAATGTCAAGAGGCTTAGGAGGGGATTTCTCCTTGCAAGTTTCTTCTTAAAAAGCAACTGTAAGAAAACACCTTCAACTGCTAGGGAATTTGAATCTCGCCTTTGTCCCTGTTACTCTACTCTGAGCCATCTATTCACGTTTGAGAAAGCCTGACATAATTTCTCCTGTGTCTGCTTTTACATGACTCTCAGCAGTTTTCAGAAATGGGCAGCAGCTGGGGGAATGAGTATTAGGAAAAATCCTCCTTTCCTCTTTATCTCACATTTCCAGAGGCCCCATGATGCTCTTGTCCCATCTCCTTCTGTCACTTTGGAGAATTTCTCTCCTCCTCATTACCTTCTCGTGCCTAGAAGAGCTAAAAAATTCCCCAATCCTTAATCACAATAGAATATCCTATTTTTCTTTGCAGAGAAACTGAGAGTAATAATATATGTTTTACATTTGTTGTATATATGCCTTTATACATATGCCTTAAACATTACCACATGAATACACTTGCTCCTGTCCTTGTCTCTTCAGACATGGTTCCATGAAGGAACAACTGGTATATAACCCCATTGTACTGTGCACTGGGCACTTTGCAGTCGCCACATGTGTTTTTATTTCATAATAAAAAACAGCAGTGGTTTTGTTTTTTTGAAATAATTGCATTTCCATCAAGGCAAGGTAAGCACTTCTTATATACCCAGTAGGAAGAACACATCCTATACACAGATAACTTAGCGATGTGTAAAACTATGATGTCCCACTTTTCCTCGACTCTCATGAACCTGTGTTCTCTTCCCTGCTTTCTTCCCCTATCTCTTTCTCATCCCTGTCCCCAACATTTGCTCCTCAGTTTGCAACTCTGTTTGCTTCATCTATTGCTGTGCATCCAGACTTACTGCAAAATTTAAGTCTAACAGTCTCATTTGTGTCTTTAATGCAGGAAACCTTTGCCATTTTCATCTTTGGAGCAGAGTTTGCCTTAAGAATCTGGGCTGCAGGATGTTGCTGCCGCTACAAAGGATGGAGAGGAAGACTGAAGTTTGCCCGAAAGCCTCTGTGCATGCTGGGTAGGCACATATGTTGTACTTCTGTTTTCCTTGTTAAGTCCTTTTCCTTCTGAGCCACGCTGGGAGGATATGCAAAAACCAGTGAAAGGCAGTACAAAGAGCACCAAAGTCAGCCCAGCCTCTTGTGCTAGGAACTGTGTCATGCTGGGAGTGGTTATTTGTAATACCTGGCAATAAGAATTAATTTAAGATGTGCTTGGGTGGTTGGCCAATGAGAAAAAATTGATCCTTGTATGGTTTGAATACATTTTTCTTGTCCTGAGCCCAACTGTTTTTCGCAAGTTCACCACAAAATGTATGCTGTCTACAGTTTCAAAGCCCTTCAGATCCTAATGCTAACTTTCCCAACCCTTTTTCATATTCACGTGCTATATTTTACCTTTATAATGTTGGTCTGTATTTACAAACAGGTATCTTTGTGATTTCTCCCATTTTATCTTTCAAGTTTGGTAGGCATTACTTACAACTAGCCTTGAAGCTACTCATTATCCACCTTTGAATCCCCTCCAAGAACTCCTTTATCCACAAAACCAACTTGCCAACATGCAGGAGCACTGGTCATTCACGTTCACATTCATTCATTTTTTAGTTCATTATTGACACTAGTTTGTTTTGAGAATGATTGAAATTGAGTAACTCTGAAACTCATCTGGAGACACTATTTTTGGCTGGAAATAAAATATGAAGACAATTTTAAAAATGAGAGCGCAGATAATTATTTTTTAACTCCTTTGGTACCACTTGTATGAATTGACAAGTGAGGTGAATCAAGTGGGGGGTGGGGGTGGGGGGGGGAGAGAAACAGAAAAAAAAACAACAGACAAACCAGAGCAACTAACAAGAAGATGCAGTGTGATTTGCATTTTGGATTTCCTAGGTTAATCAGTGAATTGGCAGCATGTGCTGATTGTGCCAGTGATTTTAATAGGAAAATTCAGCCAAAAGATCAAAAAACTACATGTACTATATATATACATATATATGTGTGTGTGTGATGATCTGTAATCCTGGTTCTCTGTGGCCTTCTTGAGGGACATAAGAATTCAGGTTTTTGCGGTTGTGTTTGTTTTTTTTTTCTGTCAGCATTAGGACACTGTTTCTGTGCATCTCTATGCTAGCTCAGCCAGTGTCTCAAATATAGTGTATTGATCTGTAAATAGATTACAGGGCTCTCTGTTGAGTTCTGTGCATGACTCTGTGCTCCAGGTGCAGGTACCTGATTAATTGGCATGAAGAGGCATTTTCAGGCAGCTTTAAAACTTGCCTAGGGAAATTTGCAGCACGGCCATATGGGATTAAGAACTGAGTGATGGAGCCACTTTTGTTGGCAGGCTTTGTTCTTTTCACCTTGCAGATATCTTTGTGCTGATTGCTTCAGTGCCAGTGGTTGCTGTTGGGAACCAGGGCAATGTTCTGGCCACGTCGCTCAGAAGCCTTCGCTTCCTTCAGATCCTGAGGATGCTCCGAATGGACAGACGAGGCGGCACATGGAAACTTTTGGGATCAGCTATTTGTGCACATAGCAAGGTAAGTGAGGAACTTGCAAGACTCAGCTTGGGGCTGAGGCCTGGGGAGAGATACTGAAGTGGAAGAGAGGGGACACATAAGTGCAGGAGTGCCTTAGGATTATTTCTAGCAACAGTAATCATAGAATGATAGAATCATTAAAGATGGAAAATCCACTAAGACCATCTAGTTTAACCATCAACCCATCCCCACTGTGCCTACCAAACCATGTTTCTCAGTGCCACATCTACATGGCTCTTGATCACTTCCAGAGATGGTGGACTCCACCAACTACCCGGGTTTCCTCTTTTCAGCTTCATTTGCTTCTTCACACTATGAGCCATTTATACCATTTGTTTTACTCTCCCCTACTCAATATTGATATTTGGAAGTGGCAAGAGTGAGCATCTATTCTCACAGACATTGCAACAGGAATTTTGTCATTACACAGAATGAGAGCAGGGGCATCCTTTTTATAGTAAAGTATGCTGAAATCTGAAATGAGACTGAAATGCCTGTGTAGTTGCAACCTATCTTTAATGGCTTCTCAGGTTGCATGATCACCAGATGGAGCAGAACTCCAGAAGGATGGCAAAAGACTGGCTGACAGAAATGCCATTTCAGAGGGAGCTGCTAGTAGAACTCCTCTTTGGAAGTGTGGGTCAGACAATTCAGTGATGCACACAGTGTGAATCCAGACAGACAGAATTTCTAACATCATCTTTTCTCAGTCTAACTGAGTGCTGTAGTCAGACATTCTGTCTCACACCAGAAAGATACATTGTGATTTTTCATTTTCAACAAATATTATTACAAGTTAAAAACTCTGTAAACTAAAAGCCTTTAGATTAGATTTCTCATATGCGCTGGGCGTAGAAAAACTGTGCTACATACTGCGTTTTTTTTTTAATCCCTGAATGACATTCCTGACATTTCAGGTTTTTTGAAAATTAGAATGCCAGCTGGCACAGCATAATTAGATTTTACTTCTTTGTTGTGGCTGATAGGGATACCCTCCTTCATTTCATACCAACTTCTGTTTCCTCCCCGTAAAGCTTGCTGCAAGGCAGGTGGCATATAAACACTTATGTCTAAAATGTTTCCCAGGAAACTGAGATCATGAAAGAAGTGTATGTGCTAAGGACATTGTTTAGAAATTGTTTAAGTCTTGGTAGTGTGGGATTTTTTCCCCATCATTCCACACTGAGTTCCCATCACCACCTTTTGGATCTCAGCTGAATGAGGAAGACAAAAAGAGGTTATGAGAAATTTGCTTTACCGAAAGACAGTAAAGAAACAATTTTATTAGCAAGATTCACCAACAAATTGCCATCTGTGTTTGAAATCAGCCATAAACTAAAAGAGAGGAAACCTTGAAAGCTGCTTTGATATGCCTAAAGAGAAGAAACTGTATTCTGCAGCCTTGACTCTCTCAAGTTGAAGAGAGCAGTGCCATTGATTTGCCTGCTAAAACCACTGCAGCCCTGGTGCAAAAGGACCGAGAATGACATAAGACTCAAGGTCAGGGATACAGTCTCATCATGGTGCAGCTAAGCTCTTAGCTCAGCTTTACTTCAACTTTGCAGCAACTTTGCCACTAAGCACTGAGCTAGGCTCATCGTGGAATTGTGACCAAGCTTCCAGTGACAGCTCTGCTATTGTCAGTGCTTCTCTCCTGACAATTATACTGCCACTGTGGATTTTGAGTCTGTTTTCAGCCCCTTCATTGTCCATTTGTTTCTTTTGCAGGAACTCATCACTGCTTGGTACATTGGGTTCCTGACACTCATACTATCCTCGTTTCTTGTTTATCTGGTTGAAAAAGATGTGCCGGAAAAGGATGCTAATGGGGTGGAGATGAAGGAAGAGTTTGAGACCTATGCAGATGCATTGTGGTGGGGGCTGGTAAGTGAATCCAAAAATTCTTTATGATCTTTTTAAAAACGTTGTATCAATAAGTATTGGTGTTAGGGTCTAAATATAAGTGCTGCTAAATTTGACTGAGTGGGATACTACTGGTATAACATCACCAATAGTAAGAACGCCACTAAAATAAATTATCAGAATTTATCTCTCTGTGGATATCTAGTCAGGCAGAGGCTCTTAGGTACTTAAAGCCTATAGAGATACCAGTCTGTGCTTCTGAATTCTAGGAAGGCTGTTTTGGAGGAGGGTCACTAAGTGTAACTTCACTGGTAGACTATATGCACTGGGGCAGCCAAGTTCTTACAGCAGTGGTGTCCACCCAGTGAGAGCTATATCCTTCAGCAAATGACTAAAGTAAAGCTGGTACAAAGTCTATTTTGTAGACCTAGCAACATGTGGCATAGGTCTGGGCAGTATAGGTAGATGCTGATGGAAGTTAGATCTATAAGGAGCTACTGAGACCATTCTCCTGAGAATCTCTCTGGATTCTTATATAGAAGGGTAGAAAGATGTCTCTGGAAAGAAATCTACATGTTGCTTATGTCTTACATGGATTTGACAGGAATCGCTCAAGAAATTCCATTGATGATAGGATACTGATCAAGAGGGATGTTTAATATGCCTGTTCTTATATTGGTTTGCACCACTGCTCGTTTGATCATGTAAAATCCTAGCTATCTTGTACAGAGAATTTATGTTTCTTTACTAACAGTAGTTATGGGAACTGACTGTATTGTACAAAATCTGTGACTAAAATTCAGCAGCATATTTTTTTATTCAGTGCAGTTCTTGTAAATGGCAAGATATGTGGCATGGGAATTGGAACTATATGATCTTTGAGGTCCCTTCCAACCCAACTCATTCTGTGATTCTATGATTTCTCCTTCACCCTTTCCATTGCCAACCAAAAGATGATACACAGAATTGTTGAATATTTTCATATCCTTCTTTACTAGGAAGTTCAGGTAGGGTCTCATTTGAAGAGTCATATTTGAAAAACAAGGTTTAGCAGTTGTGTAGGAATGGAGTAAGTTTTCACAAAATTATCTTTGCTTCTTAGTGACTGGTACTTTAGGAAGAGGTAGCCCTGACTTATTGTTAAAGCGCTGCAAACTTAATTGGCAAGTTGCATTCCTAACTGTGCACTGACAGTAGGCGTGAGACTTGGTCTTTGTGCCACATCTGTTCAGTAGATGCACCCTAGAGAATCAGCTGATTTAAGACTAAATCCATTCTTCCAGATGCAGTGCCTCTGGACTATGATATCATGAAAAAGATTGACTGGCCCATCATAAAGATTCTGTTTTAAGAAGCTCTGTGTGAGCATTCATAGAGCTAATTGAGTGACACAGGTTTGATAGTGATATTTAAAACAGGGTTGTTGGTTTTGTTTTATTTACGGCCATTCTGCCCATAGATCACCCTTGCTACAATTGGGTATGGTGACAAGACTCCCAAGACGTGGGAAGGACGGCTGATTGCAGCTACATTCTCACTCATTGGAGTCTCTTTCTTTGCTCTTCCTGCAGTAAGTAACTTCTTTCTCCTCCCTTAGCCACATCCCAGAGCTGTGTGCTTGCAAAAAGAGGATAAAGTGATCAAAACTTCCAGTGGAATCAAAACTTATTAATAGAAGTAATTCAGACACTTGAACTGGTCTGTATCAGTAAATAACTTTGATCTATGCTCTGCTTCCTGAAGACAAGTAGGATGCTGCTATCAAAATCTTTTATTCCAAAATTTACATGCAAAATACTGGATATAATATGTCACCCTGATAATTTCTGAGCCATGTGTGAACATTGTCTGAGACAGTGTTATTTGGCTCAAGACAGAACAAATCCATCAGGTGAACGATCTGGGCCATCACAGGACAGATCTTGAGCTTGTACTCTAGCCTGCATTAGTTTACTGGTATTGACATAGCCACACAAGACATATTTTTAAAATATTTGGGGCCTATTGATCTAGGATTGTGACCATTTTACTGAGCTCTAAATATGTGCATGCCAAAGATCTGTATTTGAGTGATCATCTCAGAACATTGGCCATTCTATAACTTGAAAATAAATACATTGCCTGAACAATTCCAGCTGGGAAAAGTGGTAGGCATTCAAGAGGCTGAGAATCTAAAGATGATTTGGCGTGGCTTTCATCACATGGGAAGAGCAAAGCAACCTCGTCAGTGGAGCAGTGGAAAAGGCATAATGTACTGCAGAAGGGTTCTGTGTAGCCATCCTCATTCTCATCTGCAGAACAATTTCCTATCAGAATTTCTCCACTTTTCCTGAATAAAAAAATGCTTATATTTACCCCATCTCTAGAAGTCTTAAGGCCATCTTGAATGGGACCGTATGCAACCTTGTCTGGTAGGAGGTGTCTCTATCTATAGAAGAGAGTTGGAACTAGATAATCCTTAAGGTCCCTCCCAACCCAAGTAATTCCTTGATTTTATGATAAAATCTTGCATCACTCTATGCTTTCAGGGCATTCTGGGTTCAGGGTTGGCACTGAAGGTCCAGGAGCAACATCGTCAGAAACATTTTGAGAAAAGAAGAAAGCCAGCAGCCGAACTCATTCAGGTTTGCAGCCATTTCTCTCATTGAAAAAGTGTTATTTATGAAGATTTTTGCGTGTTGCAGCAAGGACCTCCTCTTCCCTCATCCCCAATTCTCATTTGTCATTGCAGGATGTAAGAAGCCGTATTTGTAAAGAAGAAAAATTTTTCGCATTGAGCTAGATAATCCCATGGTCCTTGCAGTTCTTGAGGGATCTCTCAATTTCCATAATGTATTTTAGAAGAAAGGTGTCATTAGAGGAAAGACCCATCTTCTATCCTCTGGAAACCAACTAAATTCTATGTCAGCCTTACAGAATCACAGAAAACATGCTGTTGAGAACATATTCTTTCCAAAATCCAGATTTTGTTAGTTCCTTTGTGAAAGAATTTTATGTGGAAACAAAGTCATGTTGTTATTAGCATGAAAACAGCAACAGCAGTAACACAAGAGACAGTGACTAGTTCATCCTAGTCAAAATGCCTAAGTAGTATGTATGGTTTGTAAAAGCTGAAACATGCCATTGGGTCTTCTGTTATGTTACTGGACGATCAGTGGACTCAATGGGAAGAATCATCTTATCTCATTTGGTCTTTTATTCTGACCTTTGTTATGGGTGCAGAAATCTAAGCTTAGCATTACTGTCTTGGGACTGACTAATTACTCAGCGTAGCTGTGGAATGCATCTTGAATACAGTGAAGCAAATAATAGCATTTCCACAGAGGGACATAGAAGCTTTCTGTGATATCACATGGAAATGGTTTTCACTACAAATGCTGTTCAGAAACAGAAGGAGTTGCAGGAATGAGCAATGAATGGAATTTACTGCTAAAATTTACTGCATATCCACTTAGGAGGCAGCAAATTTAGTCATAATATTTTTAACAGTATGCTTTGAGAATTTTGGATTGAGCTCAGCAAAATTTCCTCTGATGGTACATTAGATAGTAACCAATCTAATCACTTCTAGAAATATTGCACATTCAGCAGTCCTTGGTTCTCTTTCAGGAGTATGCAACAGGAGAATAAAACCAGTTTAGTCAACTGTAATGTCTTGTTTGCACTGGTAGTACTTCCTCCTTTAATAACCTCCCCAGATCAAAAGTCAGTGTTAATAATTTTGCCATATATTGCCATTCATTTGGTATGACTCATTAGTAATTCATTTCCAGATAATCACTCAGGTGAATCATTATAGTCTTTGAAATAATCTGGCTGTTTTCAGACCGAGGAATAGCCTTGCCTTATGCTGATTATTGTCTCACCCTTGAAATCTCCAGGCTGCCTGGAGATACTATGCTACTAACCCCAACAGAATTGATCTTGTTGCTACCTGGAGATTTTATGAATCAATTGTATCATTTCCATTTTTCAGGTAAGTGAATTTCACATCTTTCCATCACCATTTTCTGTGAAGTTTAAGTCAGGACAGGAAGTATGGGAGTTTTGTATATAATTAAGTTTTCATAGGTAGCAGAGAGTTGCCAGTTACCATTTTCCTAGTTGAGAGTGAAAAAAAAAAATGCTTCTGTCCTCTGGCTCCATGGGCACATGGACAACTGCCTCCGTGTCTCTCACGTTGAGGTTGAACAAAGGAGAAGGTTGCCTTGCAATCAGCTTCCTTTTTTAAGACTTTGGAGTTTTTTGATCTGGAAATCTCGGTTTCTTCCTCTGCAATTTTGATCCTGAGAAAGTCTGAGTCACAGGCACCTGCACTGTTCACATCTTCTAGGATGATGGGTATAATTCAGTGGAGGACAGTCAAGGAATGTCTAAAACTGTCCTGATGCTGTTCATTGAAGGTTCAAAAGAAAAATTTGTTGGTGAGTTGAGGTCATTATTTTTTAAATCCCAATTATGATCCCCACTCCAGAGTTCAGTGGAAAGCATTTCATGCATAAAACATTTATAATTAATTTGTGCTTGTAAGTTAATGGGTGTTTGATACTCAACTTTTCTTGTTTCAACTTGAGGTATTAACACAAAAATGCCCATTAAATACCCATTCTTTTAGCTATAGATTATCAGTTGGTAATAATGAGTATTAATTATATGATATATCATAATATCATAATATTATGATATATTATCATAAATCATAATATTATGATATATTATATCATTTCAACATTCATTCTGGGCTTCCTGTTATGCTTCATTCTGAAAACAAGTGCTCTTAACTCGTTGCTCAGCATAGATGGGCTGCACTCACTGTGCTAGTATGGCAGTGCCAGTTGTTTCTTAAAACTGACTTGAAGAAACTTTTCAGTTTCCTGCCTTCTCAAAGGGAAAATCATAACCAAATGTTACCTCTTCCTTTGTTTTATTCACAGTGTATTTCTTTAGAACTAATCTCCCATCAGTCCCAAAGGAAATCTCTAAGAAAAAGCACAAGTGTTTAATTAAGGCTCAGTATATTTCTTTTTTGTATCCCTTCTCACTCTGTATCTATTCCCACCTTATCTATTACACTGTGATTCCTACAGGTTTCCTTGACCTCACATTTTGTTCAGAGAACACTTCTCATGTTCACCTGAAGTCTAGACTCACTACTGTGTTTTCAAACTTGTCCTTTGTACTAGGTTCTTCTGTGATTTAAACATAATCTGAAATTTAAGAGGTGTTTTGCAAATGAGGTCCTGGGAGAGAGGGCAAGGGATTGACTTCTCATCAAAGCCTAGATTACCATTCTTAGCAACACAGATTGGTTTCAGTGTTTCATTTACTTTACTTTATGACTAGCTAAAAACGTAATGTCAAAGCTTTTAATTCTGTTGTCAGTAATGATCTGATCACAGAGCAGAAAAAGTGTAAACAATCAGTAGATTAACAATTTCCATTAAAAGAATTTGCTGGATTTATTGTGTAATTCTTCTTTCCTTGCTTTCTTACAATGCTTCCTCTCTTCTATAAAAGGAAAGAGCAATTGGATGGTACTGCCAGGTATGCTTCTGCCATTATTAAAGTCTTCTTTTAATACATTATTGGAGAATGTGGGTTAAATGGTTCTTCGTGGATTTGTGAGCTGTTAACCAAAACATGCTACTAACACCATAGGTAGTCATTAAAAATGTTTAACCAATCCATTTCTTAATTGCTTGCTTTTTTCCCAACTTAACAACATAGCTAAAATGCTAATCGTACAACTGGAAAGTGTTGCTTGCTGATTGTCTGTGAACAGCTTTATTGTTCATTATGATTAATCAGAGACTATAGAAATTTCTCCTGATCTATGCTATAGGGGCAGAGTTAAGCATTCAAGTTGTTGTGCAGTGAATTTAAAGTTCTGTCTCATGTTGTTGCACCGCACAGAGCAATGTTTTGATGGAAGGGATCAGGTCTGTATCATTTCAACATATTCTCAGATTTCTTGATGATAAATATGAAGATGAAAGGCTAAGGTGGATCAATAGGATAATCAAGTTCTCTCACTTTACTACAAAGGCTATGTTAGAGTTAAGGGCTTGTTCTTACCTCTGCTGATGTAGATGGGAAAGTTCCCAGTAACTTTGGGGCTTTATAAGCAGAGAATGAGATCCTAATACTGGTTAGTCATTGAAGACTACAGCAGAGCAGACCCTGTTAGTGAACATACGAGGTTTGAGACATATTTGGAAATGAATTATTCATAACCCCTTTAGCAAAATTACAGATTTGAAAGCACATAAAAGAATTCAATCTCTTAGGTCAGACACATAAAGCACTTAAATGCTAAACTACTATCAATGGATCATCCACAATGAAAGTCAATAGGTATTAAAAGATAAATAGTTCCACAAAGACCTATGATTAAGCTGTCTCCATTTTCATTCTCATTTAAAACATGGAGAAAATGAGCAAGAATTATAGGAAAAATTGTAAACTGACAGGGAATTACAGCTTCCTAGAGAAGTTCCTGTACCTGCAGCGACAGAGCAATTCCTGCAGTATTTTCTGAGCTGTTCTATCGTTTAGTCCAGTAGAAGGCATTTAATATGAATGAACTGGATTAAAAACTGATAATTATGACTCTCAGCACAGAATCTTTAAAATCGTAATCCCATGGTCCTTGTTCTAGAAGGTTATGTGTTGCTTTTATGTTGTTAGGTAAGAAACAACCTTCAGCAAAATCATCATTAATTCTGAGTGGGAACCTTAGTAACAATATGTTTAAAGAAGTAAAAATTATTAAAAAAAAAGATTGGAACTCCTCCAGGTGAACAGACAAATTATGGTACTTGTGGAAGCATCCAATGACTTCAGTAGATATGAGGCTGAGCTCTAATCTGCTTGTTTTTACAGTTCCATGTCCCACTTCTCATAAAACTCCTGTTTATAGACCATGTAATTTAAATTAAAAAAAAAAAAAAAAAAAAGATTGAATCTTCCTGTGCTGATTTAGTATGGGAAATATTAGTGCACTAGTTGTACTGCAGTTTGTGTTGAAGGCTATATTGAATTGAATGGGCAATAAGGAAATGTTGTCTTAGTTGAGAGAACAGCCCGTCAGTGCACTCAGTCTCCAAAGTCTTGCATAGTGGAGCACTTAATGGGCAAGCTGTAGCAATAAGTTCACTTTCTGAACTGTGGTTGATAATGGAGAAAGAAGAATTCATACAAATCTTTCTCAGAATAGTCAGAAAACATAAAAAGTTAATAAAATAAGGACAAGAATAGATTGGGTAAATTACTGGCTGGCAAGATGGTGTCAAGATCAAGGCTTTGGGTGCTGTGATCTTGGGCAGACTTTTGAGAGAGCATGCAGAATGCAATTGAGAAAATGGGACAAAAGTGTTCTGGGGAACAATCTGTCTGGATTGGTTAGCAGAGCTTTAAACTACATTTCATGGAGGAAGGGCATGGAGTTCCTTGTGACAGAGAGGGGCCTGGTAATGCTGCCTTTTTAGTAAACTGTGGAGAAATGCCTCTCAGTTGTCTAATGTGATCTCATAATTACTCTTCAAAGTAGATAACGTTATCAACAGTGTGGCTTAAACCTTCCTGCATCCCTCTAGATATACCTGCACCCTCTGCTTCCCTAAAGTGCCTGTATACCAATGCACAGTATGGGAAATAAACAGGAAGAACTAGAGATCTGTGTGCAGTCACAGAGTCATGATCTCATCGTGATCACAGAGACATGGTAAGACAGCTCACATGACTGGAATGCTGTCATGGATGCCCACTTCCTGTTTCGTAAAGGAAGGCTGATTAGGCCGCGTGGTATCCTTGGTCTCCTTATGTGAGACCAACTAGAATAAATTGATCTCCCCTTCAGGGGGAAGCAAATGGATGAAGCCAGGCTCTTCTTGATGGTGTGTTGCAGTAGGAAAAGGAATAATGGCCTAAAGCTTGAACTTAGGAAGTTCTGTACTAACACATGGAAGAACTTTACAGTAGGGGTGATGGAGCACTGCAGTAGGCTTCCCAGAGAGGTTGTAGAGTGTTCTCCTATGGAGATATTCAAGACCCTTTTGGACACTTATTTCTGTGATCTATAGTAGGGTACCTCTTTAGCAGAGGGGTTGGACTCGATAATCTCTTGAGGTCCCTTCCAACCCCTGTGATTCTGTGATTCTTTGAAAATTAAAAAATGAAGCCCAGCTGTGTGAAAATGTCAGAGTTTCTGTTCTGCAACATGAAAGCTCTTTAGGAACTCCAAAGAGTTGAATTCTATGACAGATCTTCCTAGAACCTCTCTCCAAGCAGGAGATGGCAGAGTAACAAAAAAAGAGCAACTCCTTGGTCTTAGAACATTTGGGAAAAACACAGGATAAGGCAATGACCAAAGAGTCCATTTCAGAAATTGAATGCCAAGGCAAGTTTGCAGGGAAGGATTTGTGGTAGTAGAAAGCTAATTAAAATTTGACAACCGCCAAGGCTTTACTGAAGCTTACTTTAAACTAGAACTAAAGATGTGAGAGGCACTGACAAACACGTTGACCCACGCAGTGGGCTGGATCTTGTAAGTACTGAAGAGGTTTGCAATGTTGCTCTGTTAAGAATAGCACTTTACCTGTAAGCTCTGTACATGCCCCAAACCAAGAGTAACTGATACTGTGCTCTTCATTGCTTACTGGTGGGGAGCATGGTGACTACATGCTGCAGATGCCATAAGCTGTTTCTTCCTTAATCAATGCTTTAAGCTGCCAGACCTACTGAAAAGGACCTGAGGATGGATGGGAAGCTGGACATGAGCCAGCCATGTGCCCTCACAGCCCAGAAAGCCAACCATATCCTGGGCTGCATCAAAAGAACGTGGCTAGCAGAGTGAGTGAGGTGATCCTGCTCCTCTACATGAGGACATGGAGTGCTCGGTACAGGAAAGATATGGACCTGTTGGAGCACATCCAGAGAAGGACCACAGAAATGACGAAAGGGGTGGAACACTTCTCC